ATCTTCTTCTCTATCCTCCCTTCTTCAGATGACTGCAATCATTTGCCTGAGTTTAAAATAAATCCATTTTTCCTGATTCCTATATCTTTATTGCAGAATATTTCTTAAACATCAGCCTCACTTTTCTGAAAGAAGCTTTTTATTCCAATTCAATATTTCACAGTTATCTCACATTTAACATATCTAAAATGAAACCAGCAATTTTATTCTTACATAAACTTTTTACTATCTCCTTTTGTTTTTTGTTTTTTATTTTGGTACTGGGGATTGAACTCAGGTCCTTGCACTTGTGCAGCAGGCAGCAAAACCACTGAGCTAAATCCCTGGCCCTCCTTCTTGTTGCTTACTTAGAAACCTATGATAGTCCCTTAATTTCCATCCCTTTTTCTCAAAACCCTATTTTCTCACATAAACTTTAGCATGACCTATTATTACATATTACTTGTACTTCTTTTATATCATTTGCCACTATTTCAACCAAGACCACATCTCATAGCTGCATTTTAAAGCAGCTATATAATAGGTCTCATTTCTACTGCCCTACTCCTTCAATCTGTTAACTAAAGACTCCAAAATCACATTAATAATATTGAAATCAAATTATAAATTTTTATACTTAAAACCCTCACATTTTTATTTATCTAGAATAAAATAATTAATTAAATCCTGATTAACCAAGGTGCCCTATAAAACCACATTATTAGGAATGAACCTAGTTCTCCAACTCAGCCCTTGCTCTCCCCCCATACCTTTAGCTCTTTCAGCTTTTCTTCATTTTCTTGAATATCTCATTTTTTCATCTTGGGCATTTTGTTTGATGCCCTCTCACCTCTCTTTTATTAGAATGATCTTAACCTAATTCTTAGCATGATAGGCTTTTGCCTTCCTAAGCACTCCCTTATTCACCAACTACCATTACTATTTATTCAGCTTTATAATCCAAATATCTGAGTCTCACCTTTCAATCACATCTTTCCTCTTATAACTCCCCAAACCAATCAAGCACCAAATTCTTTAGATTAATGATGATGAACATTTTAGACATTGAGTTCCCAAACTGCAACCCAAAACCCACTTATTTATTGGAGAGAGCCAATACTGCAATTAAACCTGAACACCGAGGTTCTAGTTTAGAAAAAAAATCTATTAACATCTTTTGTCTTGAAAGAAATATACAATAACACAGGTATCATAGATTCACAACTACTACTTTAAATCTTGTCTTTTGTCAGGTAAAAGGGCCAAAAACCAAGACCAGACCAGGCCACAACAAGCCTTTATTAGGGGAATAAATCTGCTGGGCTGTCTCTGAACAAAGGAGAGACAAAAGCAATATGGCCGGGGCAGGGAGAGTCTTTTATAGAGACTGAGGTGGGGTTTGTAGGGGCTGAGGCGGGGTTGAGTGAGGTAGTGACTAGGGAATGGAGGAGCCGGTGATGTCACTAGGTGGTAGGAGGTGAGCAAGTATTAGGTTACTTTCTAGGTGGGAACAGGGGCGTTCTGGGAAGAAGGGTTTATTCTTTGGTGGGAGCAAAAATCTTGGGATGACATCACACAGGGAGAGGGGAAGGCACAATAGGAAGAGGGCAGCTACTGTAAATAATAGCTGCTGAGGTAGTGGGAGACCTATCATTCCAGGCTTTTGTTTTATGATAGTTGGATGAAGGTCTCTTCTTCTGGAGCTGCTTACTGCTGACAAGGGATGAAGATCGGGGCTAGACCTGGATCTGATGAGGCCCGTGGCAAGTGGGGACCTCTTCCTTTTGTTGTACTGGCTGGTACCCTGCCATGATGAACTCTGTGACTGTCTGATTGGTGAATGCCCTCAATCATTCCTGAAAGAAATTTTGAAAACAGCGAACCAGGCATGGTCCAAAACAGAGAATTAAACAGATAATACTGAGGAGTCCCAAGAGTAGTAATAGCCAGGGGAGCCATGAGCTCCAGGAACCAAATGTACCCCACCATTGATTAGTACCTTGGGGGGCATATCTATCTGGCCCATTGAGTTTTAATTTTTTTCATTTGTCATGTAATTTTTTTTCATTATTTACATAGGTTTTACAGAGACAGCTGGATGTTTAGGGGCTCATTTGTTATAGAAGTAAGAGACTGTTATGGAAGAGATCATAGCTCCTGATCTAAAGGCTCATGTGTCATGTCCTTGCTCTTAGAGAATGAGTGGAAAAATGATAAACACAATTTATATAATCTTTATAATCATTTTTTTTTTGGAATATAAAAGGTGTATGTAACTGAGCAAATGTCTTTTGGAGGCCAACATACCAATAAGTGTAGTGTTACTATGAGCCTGACTTGTCCTTTAAATTCAAGGCCATGAAAACACACATTTTAGGTTGATAGTTCCAGCAAAGCCATGGAATAGTTGTGTAAAGGACAGTGTTATTCCTGTATCTCTCAGTTTTTGGAGGCCTCCTAGATATATTTAAAAATAAAGAGAACTGATAACCTCAACAAGGACACTGGCCAATTTAAGGTGATCAAGTGTAACATAAAAGGCTTGATCTTTTTAGACATGGGTAGGTATCCAGGAAATAGCACAATGAGAGAAGAGGTATCATAAACAGAGAACAAGGATGTACATTATTTTAAAAGAAATAAATCTTGTAACTGCTTGGTGTAGAACTTATCCTGACTGTGGCTGAAAAGCAGGTGATTTTTTCCCAATACTCTTACTTTATGGTTTTTTGTTTTTTTGTTTTTGATCACTACATGATAGTTAATTAGTTATCACAGAATCAGAAAAACATTTATCTAAAAGGAGAGATCTGGAGACCAGTGATTTCTAGGGTTGGACACCTGTAAAGAACTTATTTTAATTTTTCTGAAAAGAATTTATACACACTTGTAGCTAATTAATGATTTTCCCTTCTATTTAGTACCCAAAGTTTTGTCTTTTTGAAATGGCTGTGTCAGGAGTGAAACAAAAGATTTTAATGGGTGGGCTATGTCTTAATTTTTCTGAAGTCTAGCTTTATTATTATGTCATTGTTTTATACCTGTTTTGGTTATTTTTTTCTGCTGGGTGTTTAAGACCAAGTTAAAGTGAGACCTGTGTCAATCAGTATGAACCTCTTGTTATCTATTACAGTCAGTTAAGTCTCCCCAGGCCATTACTTTAGAACCATGTATAGAGCCTCTCTGCTCCTCTGTCAATGTCAGCCATCTGGATGGGTCATGGCCTTACTTGACCAAGTTGTTTTCAGTGAAAGTGTGAGAGATTTTTTTCTTGATGAGCCTCCTTTGGCACATAGTACATTGTCCTCTGGTGTTCAGCAATCTCCCTGTTTAGGAGGTTGAGTGACTTACCAAAGATGTAGGACCCTGTAGAGAAGGTTCC